TGTTCTGAGAGAAGCTTTGCTCAGAGTTCCAGCTGCAGTGCCACAGCAGTCACATAATACTTTCAAGAAATGGAATACTGTGGGGAGCACGTGTTAAAATGCTTATGAGGACGTATAAGTGCCACTAACTGAAAGAAATGGATCAGTTCTTTTTACGTATATTGAAAAGGAGCAGGCTAAAACAGCAATTCATCCCATCATGGACAGCACAACCGCGATGTACTATTTTACCAGACTGGAGAACTCATCCTATCCAAGTCTTTGCATGTGTCACACTGTGGAGTATTTTTTTATCCAGCATACACATTAAAAAGGAAAAAAAAACCAAAACAAAAAATGCACAACGCTCAAGGTCAGTCAGTCCAAATAATGACAGGCAATACAAATGCATTTTTATACATAAACAGAAAAGGAGTGGGGAAGGTCTTTCTCATTATGCCAAGTAGCAGTCTGGCTATGATTTAATGCATTTGAAATTAAGTCTGTCTCTTCATCTGTACATTTTTACTGGGTCTGCAGAACAGACTGGCAGACAGGGTGAGCAGATGCTTCTGGTTGGATCAGGATAAAATTCTTTGTGCTGGCTTTTTGGTCTGATAAAATCTTTTGAATCTTTGTGCAGGATGACAGCAGCAGTGTGCTTTAGGTGTTTTCCAGAGGAAGCGTTGGACCAAATAAGTCTACTGGTGTGTTGTTGTAGGGAGTCTGTAGAGGCAGCTTCTGTTTAAATGTCTCTGCTTACTGCATAGGTAAAGGACAATTAGGAATTCGTGTGACTTTAATATCGTTCTCCTTCTTTCCATTTCCTCATGACCCCTTAAAATATGTTTAGAGAATTCTTGTCATTTTTTCATGCAGTCAGTACAACATCTGGTCCTTTGAGGATTTACAGTATGTGAAATCAACACCTTATTTCATAAGTAATTCAAAAAAAGGAGACTGTGGTTTGGTGTTTTTTCTTCAGAATTAGAAGAAGTGACCTACTTTCACCTCCTGCTGTCTTATATGTGTGAGTGTTCCTGGACAGTTCTAGTGGTAAGAAATTTTATCAATAGTCAGGCTCATAAAATCTCAGATCCCTGTTTCTATTCCATAAGGAGGCCCTGACTGTAATGACCCTTTCCCAAAAAGTATAGAAAACGTGTTTTGCAACCCGCTAGTATGAATTGGCATCTATCATACTTCAACAGGTAACAATAAACACGTGCCTCCAGAATTACATGAGACACAGTATAAACAAAATTGTGTTTGGAATTATGGCTGGATATCATTGACTGAAAATATTAGAAGTGCAGTTCATTACTGTTGATGAGAATAATTCAAAAGTTTAAATTTTTGCTTTAAACCAGAAAATAATCTACAATTCCTGAGAAGTGATTATGCTTACTTTAAAATCAAAATAAATTTAATTTGATGGAAAGGAGCAAGGAATTAAAAAAACAAAAAACAACAACAAAAAAGAGTTTAAAAATGCCCTTCTTGGTAATTCTCTATATGCATGATTTATCTTTGTTCCCCCTTTTTTTGTTCCTTTTTTTTTTTTCTTTCTACTTAGAAGCTTTGTTATCTGGATCTTTAGTTCTTTCTGCTCCTTTCATATCTTAGATGCTCTTTCAGCAAGAGTTTATGGCCTGTGAGCCAACTGCCTTTTTCTTCTTTAATTATGGAAGCTGAAGGCCACTTTGTCTGCCCTGAGTGCTTAATTGAAGGAGGACCATGCATGCTTTTTTGTTCCTGACTAGCCTGCCAAGAGTATGGTGCACTGCATAGAAGGGACAACAGCTTCTTTGGTGATTTCTTTTTAACTAGCATCCTGGAGTAAAGAGGGAGCCAATAAGGTGATTATAGTACTCTGTCCCTTATTTAGGAAGGATTGTGATGGCCTAGTCTAGGTTAAGTATATGTAGAACATTCTTCAGTTTTAATTTTACATTTGCAGAAGACAGGGAAAGTACTTTTTTTTTTTTTTTAAAGAAGTTCATTTAACATCTCCTGTGTCTGTCTCTCCCATACTAAAAGGGGAAAGAGGTTTTATTCATGAAGAATTTCCCAATTCTCTACTCTTTCATCACTAAGTGGTATTTTTCTCATTAATTTATTTTGAAAGAAGTGTATGTGTGGTCACTGCAAGCTGGTTGTTTGGCCTTTTATATGCCATCCCTATGAATCAGCTGGAATATGACTTTGAACAATTATCTCTATTCAAGTTATATTATTTATTTGCCTTTGGTTAGGATATTTGCCTGATTTGATATCTGAGTCATTGTTTTATAAAAGGCATGTCTTTAAATAAAACCATTAAATACAGTGATAAGATTTCTAAGCAGAGAACCATATTGGAATTATTCTTACAGTATTTATGCTAAAATGACAATTAGACACTCTAATTCTACCCTAAGATACTTGCTAAATTGTTAAGATTGAGCTTAGCTCTGACTTTTCAGAACATACAGATCTTACAAGTGAGTCATGAAGGGTGAACTGTCACATATCAAAGCTGAATTATTGCATAAGTTTATCCTTCAGTCGTTCTCTTCTGATCTTCTCATACTAAGTCAGATATTTCCTGTTGTGATGCCTTTTATTTTCCCAGGAACAAACCCAAGGATGCCAAAGGAAGCTGTGGTTGCAGTTTAGTGACAGAATACAAAAAAAATGTGATAATTAAGTTATGTTATGAATATTGGTTATAAATTATGTTGTCTCATGTAAGCACTTGGGGCTTCTGTTGTCTTTTTCTTTCTACGGTATCATTTTTTCACAATATTGGAAGCTTGGCCGTGTGCAGAGATTTTCTTATCTGAGGATACCAGCTGTTTACTGGAGGTTGAAACTAGTTGTTCCTTTCTCAAGCAGTGTCTGTCACAAGGAGACAAAAATGTGTGTATGACTAGATTTGTTTTCATAATGACAAATGTAGTTAGGAAATTGATTATAATAATAGAAACCTGGCTTTGAAAAGCAACTTGAAGATGCGGTATGGATCCGTTATGATTATTTTAAGGCTACTGAGAGTATTTCACTTATGTAGATAATGTTTTCAGTGTCTAGCAGTAATGTTAATGTGAGAAGCCAATACTGAGAGTAGGGTGCACGCTTTGCTGATATTCACCCAAATTATATGCTAACTACTTAATGTATTATTTCCATGGAATGAGTACAGAGAATGCAAATGTAATATAAAGCTGAGACATTAATCTTCTTCAGAATATACAAGTTTCAGTACAGAAGTGCAGTAATCTCATTAGACTTTCTTTGAATAATGTTGAGAGAAGATTTTGAATTGTTGCTGGTTCTTAGAGGAATGAACAACAGTTTGAGAGTCAGCTTCTATCAGATTTGGGCTATGCTTGAACTGTGTTTCAAATCCCAGCCTTGAAATATGACCAAGTCTATGCTGGAAGAAATCTTCCTTGTATCAAGGGAGCACTACCTTAGTATGACGTAGACAGGGACTCGACTGTGTGTCATGCTATTCCTTCACTCCTTCAGGTGGTCACTGTTGCTTGCTGTTACTCTGTATTAACTGACCAAATTAAGGGAGCATCCTCTCTGTAGTTATGGAAGAACTCTCTGTCTCCTGAAATCACAAACTACTTGGTGTTTATTTTACACACTGTGTGCATGGTACCTAGACAGGTCAGTTACTTCAAATTCCCTCAAGGCTTTGATTATGTTTTCAGTACACTGCTACCATTTTTGACAGTCCTTCCACCAAATGAGGAAATGGAGCAGGTGTCATTTAAGCAAAAATAACTCAACCCAAACAAACAAAAAAAAGTATGCGACAAAAGTAAAATTATCTTGGTCTGCAATTATGTTAATTTGCCTTTTAGCATACCAGATTTGTAAACTTTCAAGTTCTCTTGGTTCAGTGTGGCCTTTATACATTCACTTATGTGGTTGTTTTGCTCTCCTGACAAATGTAAGAGGGAGGCAAGAGAGGCAGTGAAAACAGCGCTAGGGAGGTGACAAGTATATTTTAGCATGAGGTTTGCTTTCTGTGATTTAGTTTAATTAAAATCAGTAAGGAAATCTCTTTTGCTGCTTTGGACATTATTAGCCCATGCAAAACTTTGCCATTTCTTCTCTTTTCTTTGCCTGACATATTTAATGGATGTGGGCATAAATGATTCCATATCCTCAGGAGAAGGAAGTGTTGTTGATTATTAGAAGATCCAATTTTCCCTGGAAAAAACCCAGACTGCTCCTTACTTGATCCTAATTCCTAAGTATGTGTGAATACCTTGAAAGAAATACCACTTTATTTTAGATGAGAAGACGAACAGAATGTCTTCAGATTCTTTGCAAGTTGAGTCTCTCTCATTTTAAGAAGACCCCAAGACTTTGTCAGGTCTCTGCTCTTCTTAGGTACTGCAACATCAACTTTCAAGGCACTGCTTGGGATATTTGGATACACAGTCTTGGGCATGTAAGACCTGAGGTACCTTATGGGTTTGTTTCCAATTCTGTAGTCCTGTTTTGCCTAATGAGTATAAAGCTGCTTTGGAAGGAAGATGGGGGTGGCTGTAGGTAGAGTTATAGGTGATTGTCTGTGGATTCTTCAACACTGGTTCTTGCAATTCTTTTACACAACGATGCCTCCAAAACGCATTGAAGAATTAAGGTAATATTACTATGTTTAGCTTTGCATGCAAGGGGAGATACAGTTGTATATAAAAGAATTCAAACAGAGTTGTTATACTAACATTTAAATCTTTTCTTTTCTGCACAGCACCACTGTGGGTGTGTTACATAAATTGCCACAATGGAGTGTATTTCAGATCCTTCATCTCAGAGGGCATCTTGTCATTGAATGTGACACATTCACCTGCCCATCACTTCTGCAGCAGCATGTGTGCTAGACAGGGTACATCCCCACGAAGTTAACAACAGGAACAGCTCTTTATACAACTGACTTTGGAAAGACTTAGTAATCAAGTCACTCTTTCAGATGGGAGCAAATACCACAAATAGATCATTCTTTCTGTCCAAGAGAACACCAAGTGCTTTCCGCTTTGCTTCAGAAAAGAGCAAACTAGTTCCCTGAGGGATATTTTTCTACTCAGTAGAATCCAGCATCGCCTCCACGGGCACTTCTCTATTCTCCTTGACCCACAGGTAATCACAGAACTCTAATATTAAAAATTATCCTCAAGTTCTTGAATGGATCTAGAGAGGATTCAGCATTTTTATGATTATCAATACTTACATATGTCTCTTCCACCTCTGTATTTTTTTTTAAGTCTGAGGAAGTGGAAATAAGACAGGTGTTCTGTTGACCATTTCTAATATTGTTTGTCTAGAGTGTTTTTTTTTTGTTTTGAGAATATGTTCACATTTCTGTAGTTGCCTAACTTTTCCTTGTTCCAGTTTAATACAAACTCTGTAAGTTGTTGAAGGAGGAACTTGACAGTGTGGATGTGTGCTTGCAACTTCTCAAAAAATTCCAACTATGGGTCAGAGACTTCTCCTTCTAATCAGTGACAATGTACATAACCTTTCTGTCTGCTCTAAATGTTCTTGTCTGCAAAATGAGGTTTTACGTGCCTGACTCACAGGCATGTTGAAGCTTAATAATTGTAGGTAATAAATACTAAATATTATTTTAAGAGATCTATTGTTTTCTAAAATGATCAAGTTTGGATCTTATTTCACAGCTTTATGCGCTAAGCTTCAGTATTGACTACTTTAGATTTTCATGAAGCCTCTCCTGAATTTAATAAGGGATTTAACAAAATAACTCTTGAAAATACTTAGGATTTGTCTTAATAAAAAAATAACTTGTACTTGCATAAAACTCATAGAGCTGTGCACATTATCAGAGTTTTCTTGAATGACATAGTCTTTGAAATGCAAATGTTGTACAGGTCTTCCTCGTCCAGAGAATATATGGTTGTTGTTTTATTACCATATGTAAAATGTTTTTCTGCAGATATTTTCTTAAATTATTTTCTTCAGACTCCAGCATAAAGAAAGAACATCATTTAAAATTACACTCACGTGGCATTCTTTCAGCATTTCATAAGTAAGAATAAATTACACAGTTGAAATGGGTTCTATTTTTTTAGGTTGGGAGTGCAAAAAGTAAAATGTTGGGGTTTTGGGGTGCCTGGCTTTGCCCCTCATAGTGTTAAATCATGTTTCATCCATTTCTCAGCATTCCTTGGAAGATAAACATTGCATTTCTTTGTTTTCTTGTTTCAAACCTGCTACAAAGAGATCACATTTTTTAAAAAATCAGAGGTATTACTGGAAAATTTTATCAATAAAATTAAAATATGGAGTATAAAAACAAGGAACAACATGTGTTCTGCACAGTTTAGAGGACTCTAGGAGGAGCTTTCTGCAGATACCTTATGTATGTATATTTTAAAGTTAGCCATGTTTGTATGTGTTTGTTTTGAATGTGATTTTCCTTTTTCTCTAAATACTGTTCTTGTACTTTTTCTCAAGGCCACTTCTTGCTATTGTAATATCTAATTAAAATAACCTTACTTGAGTCAGGGATTCTGAGAAAGTTCCTCCCATGAATTCTTCCAATCTAAAGGTTGTCTAAAGCTCCAGGATGAAAATGTGTTTGAAAGTGTCATTCTGTCATCTGCTACAGTATAAACTTCTTTGGTAGAGTCAAAAATCGTCTGTGTAAGACACAGAACAATCTTGGGGTTCATGTCAATATTCTGGGATTCTCCCAAGAGCTAAGAATCATCACAAATCTTGTTTTAATGTCTGCTTTCATTGTTAGGAATGTTTTTGACCTTGCCTGTGTAACTACACAACCATATATAGAAAACAATAAAATAAAACCCACCACAACTCCCTTCATCGTAATCCTTCGAACACTCTTCTCAGGCAGGAAAAAGGGCAGAGGACCAAAGAACATGGTATGTATGAATCGTATTTCTGGATACCCTTTTAGAAGATGCTCAGATGTTTTAAGTCAGCAGTTTAATGTGTGGGTACTTGTGCCAAAATTGGTGGTAGTGGTGATTGCTTTTAATGCATGCATTGTAGTAACTTCAGATAGTTGTATTCACACCTATTGTAGATGAAGGTACAGAAGTAGTCATGCATAAGCACACACTCATGTAATGTTCGAATAGACATGGTCTAAAAAGGGTTTATCTCTTGGTAGTTGTTGATTCCCAACCATGATGAGGTGCCCTTGTATCTTGGTGCAGTTGTTAGGTACAACAGTAATGGAATTAAGGTTAGTTGTCTTCTAGCAAAAATTTGTAATGTCTGAAAACAGTCCTTCTAAAATGAAAAATAAAACATGTTTGAGGATTTTCTGTGTAGCACAGTTCTGTCTCTCCATCTACTTGAAGGGAGAGATCTGTGTGCAAATTTTCTACTGAACTGGCATAGGCAGTTAGTTATGTCCTTGACGCCTAGCTGGCACTCTTCGAGATGCATCTGATGCTTACATTCATTAGGGAAGATTTTCAGCAAATGGTTTTATATCCACATATTTTAGCAAGTTGAGATGTCGCTGAAAACAAAGTGGTGAAGGACTTCCATATTCTCTGACACTGACCCAAATAAAGTGAGTGTTTAACTCTATGAGCTTCAAACTAGCTCTGAATGATTAGTCTGACACTTTGTGCTGCAACTCCTGTACTTTGGTAATTTCTTTTCTTGTTAGGAAGCAAGTGACTTCTTAGGCTTCAATTACTGTACAAGAGAAACATCTTTGTGATCTTAAAGATAGTATAAAAGGCTGCTTTATTTCTCTTTCCAAATATATGTTTAAAGACCTCAGTGGAGAGCTTTGGTTGTTCTTTATCAAGAAATGGTGGATACCTTAACTAGGGAATTCCTGATGCTACTGGCTTTGATGCTGGTAGGCAGAAAATACCCTACTGGCTTCTAAAGCTGCTGGGTAAATAAATCAAGAACTCATTTAGACATGAGAAAATGGAATAAAGATGCATCAGGGGAAGTTCAGATTGGGCATTGGGAAAGTTTCTTCACCAAGAAGGTGTTTGGTCACTGGAATAGGCTTTCCTGGGAACTTGTCACAGCACCAAGCCTGTCAGAGTTCAAGGAACATCTTGATGAAGCTCTTAGTCATCTGATTTAGTTATAGGTAGTCCTGTGAGGAGCAGTGAGTTGAACTCAATGATCCTCATGGATCCCTTCCAACTTGAGATATTCTATGATTTAAGACTGCAGAGTTTTTGACTGATTGAACTAGGACTGTACATTTTAAAACATTTTATATTCATGTATCATGGTAGGTTGCAGATTTTCAGTCTTCAGTTAAACACACTTTGTGTGGAGGATAGTCTTGAAAAATGAGAGAAAATAGCAAATTGTTTTCCCCAGAAGGAAAAAATAAGAAAACACTACATGAGTGAAACAAGGGATGTTTCTTTTATCTTTTAAAGGAGAATATGATCCCTCCCTATGTGTCCAGGAAAAATATTTTTTATTTCTTTTGGGGGTAGTTTGCGGGCTGATACATGGAAACTAGTAATTACATAGTCTGTTTCTTTGGCTACCTAGTCTGCTGCCCAGCCCCTTACCCCTCTAATCTGGAGGACGAGAAAAAGGGTCTCGTTGATGAAGAACAGTTGAGGAAGAGGAATTCCCTTTGGATTTTTTTTTCCTGTGTATTTTAATAAATAAATGTGAGATCTAAAAATGTTGGACTCTACTGCCTAAGCTAAAAGACAAATAATGTCTGCATGATGTCCACCTGCAGAGTGTGACAGGAGGAAGAATTGTCACACCCTGAGCTTGACTTGTTTTTCTTATTTGATGAAGAGAATGAGTGAATGTCCTGGATGCCCGTCAGCTGCATGATTGAAGAATCATTTATATTAAAAGAGATTTAATCTAAAGTGTGCAGCCACAAATATTTACTTACTTAGATAGCACGTTCCTGTTGTATTTAAGAGTTTTCTCAAAGGAGAATGTGCAGAACTGTGTGCAAAGAACCATGAAATTCTTTTTTTTTAATGTAAACTGTTAGCTCTGTTTAGTCCCAAACAGTTAAAAAAAAAATACTTAGCTTGTGTTTTACTTCTAAAAAAATATTTTCATGAGGGTTCCTTAGCTCAGGTGAAGACTGTGGATAAATTCATTAGTTTTATACAATCCCCATAAAGTCAGTTGCCTTGTGAATCTTGCTGGAACTATTTGAATATCTTATATATGTAAAGTTTGGAAAGAAAGTACTGTGAGAATATTACTAAGTGTTCTAGGTAGGATGAAACTTGATTTCAGTGATTTTTGTTTTGCAAATGACATGTTTTTCATCCTTACTCTAAAAAGGAACAAAATCTTTTTTTTTTTTTTCCTTTTTAATGAGTTATTTTTAAGGAGCAGGATTCCCTACTTGTTGCACAGAAATTCTCCAAGGTGATTCACGGTTTCTGTTGAGGTATGCAGGCTTTTAAAATAACTACAATGTTTAAAGGGACTGTAAAAGTTGTACTCCTATTGGAAAGTCAGAGTTCTAGTCACTAATGTTTAGAACGGGTTATTTTTTTCCCAATGCTTGAAAAATCTGCACCAAGACAGTATTTCTCATCGTAAGTCATATAATGTTGATTACTTGAACACAGTGCTTAATTCGCCCATTAGATGGCCCTTGAGATGGTTCTGATGGAAAATAAGTATGAAGCGTAGGTTCAGATTTCGTTGGGTTTGCTACAAGTGACAGTTTGGTGGCTGCTTGCCAAGGGGTAACAGGACCTTCGGGAGCTCAGCTAGCCCATCCTCTTGTCCCAGGGCAGCAACAGCTGTGTCTGCATCTTTCCAAAAACTGCTGCATCTGTGTGTATGAGTTTTGGCCAGGACCACTTGTGCAGTATGTTAGTAATCTACATAATCTTAGTAACTGTCAGCTTTTGATTTAAAATCCCTATTGGTAATTGATTTACATTTAGTCCTCCACTTACACCATGCTGCTAACTCTTTCTTCCAATAAACTTTTCTGAAAGTATTAACATACTTTATGCTCACAGTTAGTGCCTGTTTAGTGGATGCAGATGCCTAATGGTGAATTTTAATATCCCAACAAAAAAAGTCGGTTGTATAATTCCCCGTATAAATGATGACAATAAAATAGTTTTCTGTAGATAATCTGTAGATAATACAAAAGTAAGTTGCCTGCTTTTTCTCCCCTTTTTTTCCCGATCAAATTAAAATATCTGCTAATCCCTAGTGTATTCTGTAGGTTTTTAAGATATTTGTCCCTGTAAATTTTTGCATTAACTTAGCCAATTTTGTATGAAAGTAAGGAAACTCATCATTTTTATAGTCATCTGGAAAATTTCCAACTCAACAAAAATTTAATATTTTTATCTCTACATGTTAGGAATTCAGTATTTTGAATAAGTTAGATCATTTCTGACTCACATTATAGAAAATCCCATGACAGTGAAGCAAATGGCTAGAGTTAACCACACACTCAATTCCTGTTAAGCTGGTTGAAAAAGGGGTAGGGGAATATTGTGCTTGCATTCTCCAATCTAAAGACTACATTTTTAAAGGCATGATAACTGAATAGAGGTGTTTACTTAGCTGAGTTCTGTTTTGTTGAGAAGATGATGGTCTCATTTGTTTAGCAAGGGGTTAAACAGAAACTAATCCTTTAGGCTTAGTTTGAAAGGTGGTTATCTTTCCAGCAAGAGAAAGCATTGTTTGCTTTGCCAGAAACAGTGTAATTGTTTCTTAAACCATCATGCTCTCTAAATGGATAAACTTCTTAGAAAGAGGAAGGATATAATTGGCATAAGCAATGTCTTTAGAAGATTCCAAAAACTAATAAAAGTGCTTTCATTTATGTCTGACAAACATAGGCATTTTGTGTGATGTAGGTTGTACTAAAGCTTTTTGTGAAGAGATTATTTTTTGTGTGTGACAACTGCTCTAACAGAAGCATCATAGGTTATGGGGAACGGAACCGTAGTATGGTTGGCTCAAGTTAATTACATTTATTCAGATGAAATACTGTTCTACTGTACTCTTCGGGACAAGCAGAGAAAATACAGAAACCTTTTTTAGCCAGTATTTATCTATTTCAATTCTTTTTGACAGTTTGTGTTGCATGTGTGCTTTAGCTACAGTGCCTTTATATCGACAGTTGGTAGCACAAGCCTTTTAAAGCACAAAGGGTAGCAGTACTTCAGCCAATCTGTGATAAAAGAGAAAAAATGAAATCACTATGGAAACTGCAGGAAGAATCTAAAAGCTTTCTTTATAAAGTAAACGTCTGATGTTTGTGACTGCGGGGGCAAAAAATTCATAAATCTGTACGATGCTATCATCTCTGATTTGTTATCGCAGCAAATGCCAAGTCTAAGCAGTCTGACCTTAGCCTTATTAAGTGCTTTCTTTTCAGATACAGTTATTATTTGACAATAGAGAGACTGCAGTGCTGCAAGGAGGAAAACTAATATATTTAAAATGTGTGTGTGTCTGTGTGTCATGTGCGTCTGTGTGTGTGTATATATATATAACTATCCATCTTTTTTACCCCGTGAAGCTTCTGGAGTTGGGAGGGCTGAATGTTGGAACTCAGGGACTACTATTCTGAGCACAATTGAGAAAACTATGTTTCGTCCCATTGCATGCACTTGTCTTTGATCTCAAATTGAAAATCTCTGAACCTCTTCCTTCAATCCGAAAGCAAATAAATACTGAGAGAAAAAAAACCTCTCTCCTCTCAGCACATAGGGCCTTTACTACTGAAAAATGAAGGTGGGTGTAAGAACTCTGATGAACCTGTTTGGACAACAGACAGCAAAAAAATACCTGTCTCGGTGGAGGAGTTTAAGAGCACTGCAGAGATCATCAGACAGTGCAGAATATCTTGGCTCACACAGGCCATTCTCTTTATCTCAAAACAATACCAGCCAAGCTCCTCTGTACCTAAAACTGAAGAGCTGCGGGAGCAGAAGGACAGTAGCTAATACAGCTTTTAAATGTGAATCTCCTTATCTTACTAAGAAAAATAAAAAGAAAAAAAGAAAAATAAAGATAAATACATGAATTCAAAGCAAGATAAGATATCTGGTGAGTATTTTTATTCCATTTGGTTTCTTTAGATGTAAGATTTTTTTTTTAGTCATATGTATCTGCTCTAAACAATTTTAGGGCTTGAATGAGTGTGCAGTTTTTGAGAAGTTTTCTAATTATGGAAAAATTTCATGCCTGTTTTTGCATTTACAACTTCGATAGCTTTTGGATTTCTTTGTTTTGTTGTTGTGCTGTAATTAGTGTGCAAGCTTTGCAAGTTTGATATTTCAAGATGCTCTAAAGAGCACTGTTGTTCCCAGGCTCTTGGAATATAAACATACCCACTGGTAATACATAGTATTGTATTTTATATATATATATATATACACAATAACAGGTTTTAATATTTGTTTTAGTATGACAGTTTTAAAATATACTGATAACTACTCAAGCCAGGCAAGTACTTTCTGACTGTTTCAAGCTCTAAAAACAGTGTGAATATTTTAGCTCTTATTCAGTAAGTTTATATACAAAAATTTAATCTGTGACAGATGACAGCATAAAGTTATTTGTCCATGAATGTAAGAGGCCAGAAGAATTCTTGATTATATTCTGATTTTATTGGTGAATGCTGCTATAGTGTGTGCTTATGCTATTAACAGATTTCAGGTTAACAGTAGAAAAATACAGACAATACAATTCTGTCAAAAGCAGGTCAGTCTTTCAGTAATAAATATAAATCTAAAAAAAAGATGTATTTTGACTTATTGGCTTCATTGCAGCTTTTTATGTGTACAATGAAAACCAATTATCTGTGGAGGAAATTTGACTTTGTGGAATGGAATTAAATTGCTTTTTAAAGGCTTCCTTAAGCAGTACTAGCTGGAGGGAAGTCCAATAACATTTTAGCTCTGAATTGTAATGACTTTGCTACATTAATAAATCAGGTTGTGTTCTGACTTTTATCAAAAGATTCCAAGGAAGAAAGCTATCCACAGCAGGTTGAAGCTACAGGGGCAGTCCTGACTTGTTTTTCTCCATCAAGCTACTTTACTTCAGAAAGTGGACCTTCAAAAACAGCAATTCCCATGGATCAGTGCTTAAAACGGTAGGTCCAAATCCATCAAACATTATTAAAACAATTGATAAATATTAACTCCTGCTAACGAGTGAATTGTCAAACTGGAATATCTGTAATGCAGTCTGGCTATTTAAATCACTGTTCTTAAGGAAGCAAGGGGAAAAATTCTATTCATGTTCATCACATTTGGGGTGGTGCTGGTGTTGTTTTGTGGGTTTGGCTTATGTTTTGTGGGTTTTTTGTTTCTTTTATTATAAAGAAAATACCTTGTTCTGTTTATCTCTTGTCTTAATATGGAACTGGGCACAAGATTGATCTAAAAAGTAAACTTTTTCAAAAGAGATGTTTTAATTCACTCTACATTGTGTGAATATGTCCTGTTGCTGCAATTCATGTACTACTGGTTAGCTAGGCAAGCATTTGGGCTCAGTGTTGAATGCAGTGAGGTTTTATAAAGTATGTATTTGGGGCTCAGAATCTGAAGCGTTTGCTTGAAAAGTGTTTTGGTCTGTTGATATTAGCTCTAAAGTAATCAGGGAGGAAAAAAAAAAAAGATACTGCCATTTTTCCCCAACAGAACACAAATCAAAAGTAGGAGGAAGGTGAACTGGTGAAATGCACCTCTGATATTGGTTTCCTATGCTTTTATGCAGAATGTTTGTAATTATCTTGCTGCGTCGTAATCCCTGACATTTGCTTTCACAAAGCATCTAGTGGAGAATGCAATACCCTAATTATGTTTCTGTGAAAGAGTTGAGAGGAAAAAAAAGTTGTGCTCTTTAGCACAGCATTTTAAATGAAAGCAATTTCATTAATAATATACATACAAAATTTTGGGAAGGCTAAAGATACTTTATCAACTGTAATTCCAGGTTGTTTTATATTGCAGTGTACAAACATATCTGAACATATTTTAATTTTAAGTTCTTTTCTGAACTGTGTGCTGTAGTTGCCCACATCCAAAGCAAAACAGGCACTGGCTCCAGACTAAATATTTTTATATCTTTGTGTTTTCTCTCTTACTTTTCCCAGTATTTTCTGAGATAAATGAAGTCTAGTTACCACATTTTAAATAAACTATCTTGATTTTAAAAAAAAATTAAAAAATCAGTGCTTTCTCGTATGATGTTTTACAGTAACTTTTACATTAAGGAAGCAAAGATTAAGAATAACAATGAGTTAAATTTTGAGTTGCAGCTCATGAAGATCACCTCATGTTATGTTCTTTTATATAGGGAAGTAGCCATAAACAACGTGAAGTTGTAAAACTGACTTTTGATCATGGGGAAGCTCACTTTTTATAGATAGGTTTCTCCACAAACTGAGGCAAAAGGTTAATTGAGGTTGCATATTTGAATACATTATGAGCATTTCACGTCTATTAGACAGTTACTGAATATCTGGTATGAATAATTTCTAAATACCAAGTTATTTACTACAGAACCATTAAAATGGAATCTACAAAGGAAAATGGATACGTGATACTGGTATGTGTCTTTGTTCACAAAGTGGGACTGTGTGGGTTAGCTGAAAGAAGTGACTCCAGCAGTCTGTTCTCAAGCAAATTTCTCAGATGCAGTATTGTTATGCAAGACGTACCTGGCTTTCTTTTTGCTCTCCTTTTGGGAAATTCATTAAACTGTTCAAATATCTTATGGTACGTGAGATTAGTTATCCAATATTGTGCCCATAATGCCTGCTTCTAGTAGATGAGCAGTACAATGAAAAAAAAAAAAAGAAAAAGAAAAAAAGCCTTGCTTTTCCTCCCCCTTAAGCAGCCCCTCTTTTCCATCCCCCACTGTACTTGTGTGGGGTTTTGTTGTTTTAAAAAAAAAAAAAAGAGAGAAAAAAATCAGTGCCAATTAGTGCCAATCAGTGTAAACAAACACCACCCTTTACATAAATCCCATAAATATGTACTTTATAGCAAGACATCTGTTACTGGTGACTTGGCTAGGAAGAGTGGCCATTATCCCACTCAGGGGTGACCTCCAGAGATTTTGAAAGCCTTTGGGCAGAATACTTCTCTCCAGTCTTGCCTCAAAACCCGAAAAAAGTTGTTTCCCTCACGGATGCAGCCTGGGGATTGCTTCAATAAAAGCAGGGAGAGTTTCTGAGGAAGAAGAGGAGGAGATCATGCCTTCATAGCAAGCACCAACTTCTCAAACTTCCCAAGAAGTGCCCAGCTCTGACATAGGCTCCTTTCAGAAAGTTTTCCTTCTCATCCTCCTATAAAGTGGTAATTACTAATGCTGTGTTGTTTTTGAATGGTGTGCAAATTCATATAGATACCAAGCCAGCAGCAGATGAGGACGTACCAGGATAACATGGCACTGGAAGACACGTGGGACCCTTGATTCAAGGAGAAATATCCCAAGGTTATCACATTAGAAAGGCCTAACCAGAGGTTTAAATCAAATATGACCAGGAGCTTGTCACATGGTCCTTGCTGGGGCTTCATACCACGCTTTCCCTGGGAGTGTTATTGGTGGTCTCTGTTTTTCAGTGGTATATGTGTGTGGGGTAGAGTAGATGTTCCCAAGCACTAATGTGTACTCCACAGTCTTGTGTTATTGCAGCTTCATGACCACATTCTCACCTGCAAGGGCTGGTACAGCTTTGTCATGCTGTACACTAGCAGCAGAGGATCTTCCTGGCATGTATTTTCCTAACTTCATTCAGTGGCAGTAGTTTGTTGCCAGTTTGCTCAAATAGAAGGGAAACTGGTGCATAATGCTTCAAAATTCATACTAAATTAATTTTTTTATCTAAGAACACTATTAATTTGTAAACATACTTATAACTGAAAGGTTTTTTTTCCTACCTAATGCCAGGCATTGACATAAACTGATGAGTCCAGTGAATGTGTCTGTCCTTAAAGACTGATATTACAGATGATTTGAAAGAGATACTCTGGAATTAAACAGCAATGAAGTTTCTAAATGTAAAGTCCTGGTTCTTTACAATGCCTTTGGTAGTCTAGAGGTATTCTGCCACACAGGACTTGTTACACTGAGTAACACTGATTTGCTTTCCTTTTTGTCTGCTTGTTTCCTCGCTGCACTGGAAGAATTTTGAAAGGCACTGGATGCATGGCATTTTTGTTGGAATGTGTGTAAATTCCCATATATACAGAAAAGATTGCTTTGAAATTCTCTAAAGTGACAATCGTCAACTTTCAAATTAAATCACATGTAGTTTCTTTAGCATGTCAGTTGAAAGTTGCTGATAAAATGATTATTTATTTGTAATGGGTGGGGAGGCTTCTCTGAGTTGATAGGGTCTGCCACATTAAAATGTGGGGTTTGACATCATGTCTCTAATTTCCACTTGTGTTAACAGTCTCAATTCTTTATTTTTTTAACTGTGCATTTTATAAATCTGATTTTATTGCCATGTGAAATTTTTGCTGGTAATCTTCGACCTTTACACCTTAAAATTGCCTTAAAACAATACAACCCACACACTTTAAGGCAAGTATACCCATGCATATTCATATCCTACTGCAGCCTGCTTGAAATGAAGTTAAGACTGACTTACACAGAAGAAGGGAAAAAAGTGTTTTAAAGCTGAAGTCTAGACCTGGGCTGAACTTATACAATAGTTATACAGAATACAGAGTCATTAGCTTTTCATATAATAATGCTAGACTTCCTAAAAGTCAAGCACAGAGTGTAAATGTCAGGATATTTTGTCTAACAGCTTCATTGACTCTGTCTTTGCGGATAAATACTTAAACTCTGTCATATAAAACTAAGAAAAAACCCACAACTTTTTGTGCAAGTAAAATCTCTATATGAAAATATAAAACTGCTATGAGACTGAAATGAGTATCTCTCTTTCTTATGCCAACTAACTGGCCAACTATGTACTTGCTCTAGCACAATTTTCTACTGGAAATGCTACCTTCATTTTCAGTCAGTGCTTAAAACTGCTGTCTGGTGGAAAAACTGCTGAAGCTTTTGTACTGAACTTCTCTGTGTCTTAATACCTAGAATATTTGAGCAAAGATACATGTTGTCTATTCAAACTGTTTTATTTCCCCAAGAATTATGAGAATTCAGAGCAGGAATTATTTCCCTTTCAGGATTAGAATCCTGTTTTACTGCTGAACTGTGTTATTGCTGTGTTGTCCAGCACCAGACTAGATGAGATTTCAAAATGAAAGTCAATACTCCTAAATTTGCATAGGATTACTGCCTATGTACATGAAACATTTTTCTTAATAAAACCAGAACAATTTACTGATTTTTTTTTTTTTTCCCCTTCCCTGTCCCTCCCTCTCCAGGGCAAAAGGAGATCTTTGTAAAAAGTGAAGCGCTAGTAAATAAAGAGTTAAATTGAAGGCAGGCTCACTGGTTTGTTGAGATCTGTCAGAGTCTGAGTGGCTGGCTACATATCTGTCTCAGGAACAATAGCTACCTGTATTCTGCACAGGCTGCTGGGCAGGCACTAGCAGTCTGGAGAAGGTCTGCCTCTGTTAGAGGCTTTTTAGTGGGAATCCCTAATGACAACCCTACTTCTCATTGGGAGGGGGGAGAGAAATCTTGTCTACTCTGTTGATGAGGGACAGAGCTTTGATCATTTTCATTCAGCCTTGACTTGGCCCGAGGTTTAGGTTCCCAGTTGTGAAGTCAGCAGGCTCTCTTTTCTCACACGCACACACACTCGCACGCTCACACAGACCCCTTTGCTGGTCTGTGCAGGCAGATTAGTGTCACGGCTGTAACTGAGGCACAGAGCAATAAACATAGCAGAACCAATCTCCATGGTGGCAAGAGGGGGCACTGGAGGTGACAACAATGGAGAAGGATCTTTCTTCTGACAAGTTTTAGGTAAGAGAGAATATTTATACCCTCCGCCAACTATTTTATAGCCTTCTAAATAAGTTAGAATTTGTTAGATTGCAAATGTGCCTTGTTATAGAAATATTCTAGTTTACTGCTGTATCCAGGGTGTTACTAGCGTTTAACCTGTAATTGCCGTGCTTTGTGTTACGAGAATGTTTGCAGAAAACAGGCAGGCTT